CCCAGCATTCTTATCTCAAAAATTGCCTTAGTTGTGGGATCATAAAACTTGTAACCCTTAGACATTTCAAAATATCCAATAAAATAGCAACTGATAGTCCTTACATCTAATTATTTTTCATTTGACCTATAAGCCCTTACCTTAGCTAGACATCCCCAATGTGTATGTGCTTCAAACTATGCTTCTTCCCCATCCAACGTTCATAAGGGGTTTTATCAGTGACTTAAATTGGAACTCTATTGAGTATATACGCTGCGGTCTTTAATGCTTCACCTCAGAGAAATTCTGGTAAGGTAGAATGACTAATCATACTTCTCACCATGTCTTTAAGCGTTCTATTTCATCTTTCAACAACACATTCATAGTGTACGAACTTGACATATTGTACTGTGGGACGATACCACATTCCTCTAGGAATTTAGTAAATGGTCTTAGACATTGTTTACCTGAACCGTCATATCTGTCATAGTATTCACCACCATGATTAGATCTAACACTTTTGATCCATTTGCCGAGTTGATTTTCAACTTCAATTTTATAGTTTTTTGAACACACCCAGTGACTATGATTTTCATGAATGAGATATACATAGCCATATCTTGAAAAGTCACCTATGAACTTATAAAATATAGTTGACCATTCCAAGAACCCGTAGGGAACAGTCCACAAATGTCTGCATGTGTAAGTTCTAAGATGTTTGAAGTTTTGTTGGCTTAAAATCTCCTTTTATTGGTTTGGCTTCCCTTTACACCTCGAGTACTTACATGTAAGGATTCATTAAAAGAAGCAATTGTATCAATTAAATAAAGATTATCGTAACCTGATAAAGAACTAGAACCAACCCATTTTGAATCATGAAACAAACTGAATATTCCATTCCCAAATGAACAACAATAACCAGATTTGTCCAAATCAGAAATAGAAATTAAATTCCGTCTAAAAGACTGTACAATAAATGTTTCATCAAGATTCAAATGAAATTCAGTCTTTAACAATAATCTAAATTTGTCTATTACTTCTACTTCCACCGTCTTGCCGTCACTAACATAGATGTATATTTCACCGTCACTTGGTTTTCAACAAATCAACCAACCTTGCATAGACACATTGATGTGAGTTATTGTACCGGAATCTATCCAACATGTGTGTCTAGGTACCGAAGTTAAATTAACCTCAGAACAAACCAATTGAAGATTAATACTTTCTTCATACGTCATGCGTGATAGTTGGTACAATTCTTCTTCTTATGACCTGCAATTCCAAAGAAGAAACAACCACCCTTAGCTTGTTCCTTATGCTGTTTCTTTTGTGGTGTTGTACCTACAACTTCCTTATCAGTTTTTCTTTTCCTTTATACTTCATTGACGTAAGGTTAGCCAAAAGTATACTAGTTTCAACCTTTTCATTCTTACTAGTTTTAACCTCTTCATTCTTGGTAAACCTGTTCTCAAAATCCTTAAGGAAAACCTTAGTCATGTTCACTTCATCAGACCTAGTGCCCCAAAACGGTTCTGGAATAGCACGTTTCATGACAATTAAGTTTATATAGTTCGATCGTTCCCACTTTTCCATCTCCCTCTTGTCATCAGAGGTACTCTCATCAATAGGTTTAACAGGTTGATCGATCTGTAAAGCAAGGTCCAAGTCCATGACTTCGAGAACGTTCAATACATTCTCTTGCCATACTTTGAACTTCGTGCCATTAAGGATTGAAATTGAATTGATGCTAGCAGAGATATTAGTAGTAGAACTCGAAGTTGAATTGAGAACTATCGATACTAATGGCTGATATTAATATCCTCAATATGCAAATAATAATATTCTCAAATAATGATAGGGCCCATCACAAGATACCTAGCACAACATCAATATCTAGTCTTTGGATAGAAATATTGATTTGTAAGTGGTACTTTTGGCGTAGTGATCAAACATTGACGATAAAATAACATGTCAATCAATAAACCTTTCTTTGGTCCTATTTATTGATTACACGTTAAACCAACAACTGTCACATGTTTATCACCATGGGTGCATGTGAAATTCGGCCAAATATTGACCATCCTTTGGGCCGACCAATATTCGTATGAATAACACACACAAATACCTTTTAATATTCTAAGTTAATTAATTTCTACAAAAGAGGTTGCTTTGTCAACATGTTGCTTCAATTAACTGACTTTCGAATATTATCTCTCAAAAGAGTCTTTAGAACCAAATTTTGAGAAAGAGAATCAACAATTTTGCATATTGTATGCCTTTAGAAACTTTATGGGGCCTAAGGGTTAATAATTCAAGACTTTAGAAGGCAAAATTAACTAATTCAAAGATTTAAGGGCCAAAATTAATAGATTTAAAACTTTAGGCGGCAAAGATTGACCAATTCAAAAACTTTAGGGATCAAATTTTGAAAATTTCAAACTTTCGGGGCCAATTTGAATTAATTATAATCTTTAAGGGCTTTAATTATAAAAATCAGAACCTTACTTGCCCAAATTAATTAATTTTTAAACTTTAGGGACTGAATTATTAAACCCAAAACTTTAAAGGCCCAATTGCATAAGCTTTAAACTTTAGGGACTTAAGCCTTAAAATTAAATCCTTAAACCTAATTGCAAGCAGGGGCTTCAAGCAACCAAAATTAAATTAGATTCCCCGCCTCCGAAAATTCAATTAACCATAAGGAAGAAAAGAAAATCTTCTCTCTTCCTTTCATCTTCTAGCGGCGGCGACCATATACATTCGAAACAGCAGGTCGGAGCCGGTTGTAGCAGCGCTTGGCGCTGCTGGGCGCTGCCTGTCGGTGCTGCGTTTGCAGCAACGCTGTGTGCTGCTGCATGCAGCAGCCCTGCAGCGCTGCGACGCTGGGTGAGGTGTTGCTGCTTTTGCACCGCCCAGACTAGATCCGGGTTTTCCTAAATCATTTTTTAAAAATTTTTATAATGCCCAGATTGTACAGCGGCAAAAATTCACGCCTAAATCTTGATTTTTTTAATTTCACACTACCTAATGCCACTAAATTTGTTGATTGATACAAATGCAAAAAATTTCCATCAATTAGATTCTGGAAAAAGGTGGTCACGAATTCAGCCAAACAATGTGTAGAAGGAAACTTATAATAATCCATTAACACGTTTCTAGAATAAAAAAACTTGACACCAATAATCCATTTCCCTTAAAACTTTTCCAAAATCCAAGATTTAAAATTTTATGGCCAAAAATACAAATCTGAAAATTTAGAAATTCAAACCATAAATTCCAAAAGATTTTAAACCAGATCCAGAAAGAAAACCAAGAATAACAAACTGTAAAATTTTCAGATTCAACAAAACTAGATTCGAAATCGTTAAATCTGAAAACTTCGAAAATATTGCAATAACAAAAACACAAAAATTTGATTCTCAATGATTCAACATGAAAATGCTCTGATACCACTTATAAAAAATTCATTATCTTCAATTCACCAGATCTTTCATGTTAGATCATCAAAAAATTCAAGATCTGTAGTGAAAGTATACCTGAATCAGAATGGTCATTGCAATAATTGAATCCTACGGCTTGATCTTCCAAATCGACACATAGTCTCATTTTCTCTCTTTGATGGGATGCAGAAGAGAACGAACAAAATAATTTTCTCTACGTGTGATTCGAGGACCATAACTACTATTTGTACACAGATGCCCTTTTGTACTTAATTTGGCCCATCATGGAATTAGGAATTGAGCCCAGTCTCTACACATATATAAACCCACACTTTAAATAGAAGCATTAAAGCCCAAAATCGAAGCTTTATTTGATCACTTTAAATGGGTTCAATCGAATTTGATAGCCTTTAATTCAATACACATCAATTTACACATATAAGTCCACACGATCGTTTAAAATTCCTTACATGGGCATCAAATTACAGATCACTATGCATGTAAGAGATGTATTATCATGTGAAGGGACAAACATATTGGTCAATTTTCAACGTTTCTGGAGTACAAACAACGCTTTATACGTACCTATCAAGCTATTTGCTTCAAGATAGAGCATTTGAAGCTTTGACAAGTTCCCTATTTCTATTGGAATTCTTCCAGAGAAATGATTGTATGACAGAGAAAGTTGTTCAAGATTCAAGCATGTTCCCAAGCTTGAAGGAATATTTCCACTTATTTGATTCACTGCAATCCTTAGCCTCTCTAGCTTAGGAAGGTTGTAGCAAATATCCATAGGTAGACTTCCAGAGAGACTATTGTTTCTTAAACCAATATCTATCAAAGAAGAGAGGTTGAAAATCCTATTTGGAATATTTCCTTTGAGTTCATTATGGGAGATATTTAACTTCCGTAGATTTTTGAGAAATCCAAGACTTGTTGGAATAGGACCATTTAACTCATTTTCCTACATATCTATGTCTTGAAGCTTGCTTAAATTACCAATTTCATTAGGGATAAACCCATGGAAATTATTATTGCTAATAATAAAGGACCTCAGAAAAGAGTCACCGATTTCTTTAGCAATAGTACCCCCTACACCCATATCTGCTAGATTCAAGCTCCTTACTCTTTGATGTCTCCTGCCACAAGTAATGCCAATCCAATTGTAGAACGAGGTTCATTGTGACCAATTTTTGGCCAAGATTTTATTTGGATCAAATGTTATTTGAGATCTGAAGGCTAGAAGAGCATATTCCTCAGTGGTGTTATTTAGAGATGCAACAATGTTGATAATCAAGTAAAGCATTGCCAAAAACGTAGAAATCACATTCTTATCCATAGCTAATTTGAAATGCATATAGAAAATTTGGAGGGTGCTTGTATTGAGGAGTTTGATACAAGTGTGGTACATACATATATAAACAAACTTTGCTTGACTATAATAACCCTAATAGTCACTAAACTTTACAAAAGGCTTTCATGAGGTCATTGAACTTTAAAAATCAACTGATTCATCACTGAACTTTGCAAAAGACTTCCATGGGGTCATTGAACTTTGCAAAAAGTTTCATAGGAGGTTGAAACCTTTTGCAAAGTTCAGTGACCCCGTGAAAACTTTTTGCAAAGTCCAGTTATGGCTTAGGTAATTTTTAAAGTTCAGTGACTTGGTAGAAACTTTAGGTAAAGTTTAGTGACTATTGAGGTAATTAACCTATAAAACTGGAGAAATTATTTCATTGGATGCGGAGATTTTTCTTTGGAAAATCCTGCTTGTATAGAATTTTTCCCACAGAAGAAAACGAGATAACTCACATGGGGTGGGCCCCATGTGAGTTTTATATTCAAAAAACACCACCCACCCCAAGTGTTGTGTGTGTGTTCTGGCAAAGCATTATCTGTACATGCAGTGCTTCTCCTTCCACCCCATGTGAGTTTTATATTCAAAAAATACCACCCACCCCAAGTGTTGTGTGTGTGTTCTGGCAAAGCATTATCTGTACATGCAGTGCTTCTCCTTTTCTTTTATCTTTCATTGCGGAAAATTGTGGTAGTTTTTCCACAAAAGAAAGTTACATTCTTCCAATAGTTCAAAGAAATAATTAAATTTAAGAGCCTTCAAAGTCCATTATTACCCCCACATTTTCTAGTGAAATGTGGAAATATTCTTAAGAAAATAAAATTAGCTTAACATGTGTAACACAGTATATTCTAAACCGTTTGTCATATTATGTAAGGCTAGGTATAGCTTGAATTTCCATTTACAAAAATAATGTTTTATTGTTTTGACAGTCAGAAGAAAGGTTTTTATGTTTACTAAGATCATATAATTTAAATTATTTAGCTTAGTGCATATAGGCTCGATTGGATGTAGAGATTTAATGTGGAAATTGTGAAAAAAAAAAGGGAAAAAGAAGTTCATAAATGAAAGGGAATTCTTCCAATCCAAAAAAAAAAAAAAAAAACTCATGAGACTTAAGTCCACTAAGGATGTAGAGATTTAATGTGGAAATTGTGAAAAAAAAAAGGGAAAAAGAAGTTCATAAATGAAAGGGAATTCTTCCAATCCAAAAAAAAAAAAAAAAAACTCATGAGACTTGAAAGTCCACTAATACCCAACATTTTCTTGTAGAATGTGTTAAGGGATAAAATTTCACATAAAATAAAGATGATAATATAGATCAATTTACAGGGGTTTGGGCTACTTCTCTTAACAAGATTGACATTTTAAGATGAATCTCCAAATTCTAATATGATATCAGAGTCTATTAAGATCTAACGAACAATTTGATCCGATTAAGTCTCAAAAAATGAGAACCAAATTTCAAGATTGGCTTGTTTAAATGAGCCACTATCTTGTGGGGGAATGTTAAGGGATAAAATTTCATATCAAATAAAAATCATAATATAGACCAATTTATAAGGATTTGAAAAACTACTCTTTGAAAAGATAAACATTTTAAGATGGACTCCCAAATCCTAACAATATGTCGAGATTTTCTTAATAAATTACAAGTAGCTTAAAGTGCGCAAAACATAAAAATTGTAAATCCTAAACAGTTTGTCTTATGTAAGGATAAATATAGCTTGAATTTTCGCTTACAAATGAAAGTTCTTTTTTTTGCTTTTTCATTTTTTTTTTTGACACTCAGAAGAAAGGATTTTATATTTACTATGAACATTTAATTTAATTATTTAGCTTAGTGTATATAAGTACGATAGAAGTGTTTAATATTTCTTATAAGACATTAAGCAGCTCAAAAAGGTGCCGCTAGAAAGCATGTGGAGCGGAGCCACATTCAACCCACCAGAGCTAGCTGGAAAGCTTAGGTGGTTAGCCGATATGGGATCCACAGTAATGACTGCCCTACCACTCATGGGCTCATTTGGATGTGGAAGTCTTCGTGCCTATTGGTGAAGAGGACAAGTCTTTATTTGGCGATCTAGGAGACTTGCCAGAGTCTTCGGTGGTCCTTTAGCGTCACGGCAGGGGCACAACATGATACACATGTTGACAAAATTCCAATTTTATAATTTCAAAGTAAATAAACACCAGCTCACATTTTCAAAATAAATAATATTGCACGAGTCTACCTTATCGTATATTCGTATGAGCCACGTTCGAGTCACCATTTCTTCTAGGATTTCAAAGAACAGAATTATTGTAAATTATCAGTTACGTCAAAGTCATGCAAGGCCGGCCTTTTAGATTAGACTCCTATTTGGCACTGAATTTAATCTGAATCAAAATCAAAAATTAATTTCAATCACATATTTAATTGATCTCACGACTTTTCAACCATATATTTTATCAACTTTTATCGGGTTAATTACCCCAATAGTCACTGAACTTTGCCAAATGTCACATGGGAGGTAGCTGAACTTTGAAAGCTTCCTAAGAGGTCACTGAACTTCAAAAGCTTTCCTGTACGTCACTGAACTTTGCAAAAACTTCCTGAGAAGTCACTAAACTTTGCAAAAAGTAGACCCATACATCACTGAGTTGAGTGATCTCTTAGAAATTTTTTGCAAAGTTCAGTGACCTTCGAGGAAGTTTTTGCAAAGTTTAGTAACCTAGCAGGTAGCTTTTGAAGTTCAGTAACCTCCTAGGTAGCATTTGGTAAAGTTTGGTGACTCCCAAGAAGGTTTTGAAGTTTAGTGACCTACCAGGTGGCATTTGACAAAGTTCAGTAACTGTTGGGGTAATTAACCCACTTTTCTCAAAACTACTTTTAATCTCTACCAAACAAGGATTAGACTCGATCTCCTGTGGGAACCAAACATTCATCACTTCCAGTTAACTTCACGTGTGTAGTGTGCATCACCAGATTCCACCAGAATATTCCCTCCAGCTCAGCATGCAGATTCTAGAGACTTCTTCTTCCATACGTATTGCCTCCTTAGTTAGTTAGTTTTGCTCTATAAATAGAGCACTTGTATGCATTGTTAACTCATTGGAGTATAGTCTTCCAATCCTTCCTTATGGAGGTTTCATTTTCTCCTATTATGGAGTTTCCATTCCTCCTTTTATGGAGAGTTTAATGTTCTCCTTTCATGGAGTTTTCTTCCTCCATAAAGGAGTTGATTGTGCCTCCTTTCATGGAGTGTATTTGTTCTCCATTAATGGAGTTTAATCAATTGTTTCAGATTCAATAAATTGTAACATGGTATCAGAGCAATGAAAGCTTCCTGCTGCTGTATTATCTTTGACTTCAGATCATAATTCATCCACATCATTACTATTGTTGCCTTCTGCCGAATAAATGAGATGTTCATCTTTGTAGCAACAACAGGAACGTCTTCATCTCTTCACAGATTCAATAAATCTGTTGCTTGATCTAATATTCATTTAGTGAATAATTTCCAGCTCTTCTCCAGATCTGTCTGCCTCAATTTTTTTTGCAATTCTCTTCGTTTTCTTCTGGATTCTATAAAATCGTTGAGCTGACAATTTCAACCAGAATTCAGAATTTAGTCCATTTGCCACTGGACATCAGGTTGAAGAAATCTCGATGCTCTTGCCGATACAGAGCTGAATGCACAATTGAATTCCTTGGAGGATACAAGAGCAGGGAATTCCTGAAGATGATCCTCGTAATCCTGCTGTAATTGCTGATTTGTTTGGAAGTCTGGTTCAATGATCTGTGCAATGATATTAGGTAGAAAAATGGCAGAACACAGCAAACTCGAAGATCTGTCCGGCTTCATTTTGCTTCCCCCTAGTTGTTCACTCATTTGATCTGATGATATCTTCTATTGAAATACTTTCTATTTGGTTCACATATGACTCAGGAGTTCTTGGTGCTGTGGAAGATCTAAACATCTATCAGAGAAAATTCGAAGTTCTTGTATGCACACAAGGTGCTTGATGAAATGTTCGACAAAGCTACTCTTCTGCAAATACTTTATGAGAGTCATGAGTGTTGTGGCTCAATTTCTTCGATCCAAGATCTGCCCTCTCCTCAGAGTCTAATACGTGCAGTGGAGGTGGAGATTCTATATCATCTGAGATACTGCCACTTAATATATCTGAGATCTCTCCAACTGAAATGCGTGGAACACTTGGATCTGTAAACCAGCCTTACCACTTGAAGGATCTGGAGTAATAGCATCTACTTGAACTTCAATATGTTGTTGTTGTTACATGGTTGATGATTCACAACTCATCTTCAAGATGGATCCAAGTCCATCTTGAGGGGGTGTGTTGGAACCAAACATTCATCACTTCCAGTTAACTTCACCGGTGTAGTGTGCATCACCAGATTCCACCAAAATATTCCCTCCAGTTCAGCATGCAGATTCTAGAGACTTCTTCTTCCATACGTATTGCCTCCTTAGTTAGTTAGTTTTGCTCTATAAATAGAGCACTTGTATGCATTGTTAACTCATTGGAGTATAGTCTTCCAATCCTTCCTTATGGAGGTTTCATTTTCTCCTATTATGGAGTTTCCATTCCTCCTTTTATGGAGAGTTTAATGTTCTCCTTCCATTGAGTTTTCTTCCTCCTTCATGGAGTTGATTGTGCCTCCTTTCATGGAGTGTATTTATTCTCCATTAGTGGAGTTTAATCAATTGTTTCAGATTCAATAAATTATAACATCTCCACTATTAGATAATGGGGTACAAAACCTGAATGGTTCCCAGATTTTGTACGGTGGGAAAATGCCCCCATATATTAAATCTGACTTTAGTAGTCCCTTTACTTTAAATTGTGAACATATTAATCCCAAAAAGGAATGCTGTCCAACATTATTTACGGACATTCAATGTGGACAACGGATTGATGACTGACATCCTATATGGCGTTACTTTGACACCTAATAGGCAAAAAAGATAAAAACA